TTAAAAATTTATTTTGTTCTTTTTTTTTTTTTAAGATATTATTTATTTATTTATTTGAGAGAGAATGAGTGAGAGAGAACATAAGCAGTGGTGGCAGGGGACGGGGGGAGAGAGAGAAGCAGCCTCCCTGTTGAGCAGGGAGCCCAATGCCAGGCTCGATCCCAAGACCCTGAGATCAAGATCCCAGCTGAAGGCAGGCGCTTAACTGACTGAGCCACCCAGGTGCCCCCAAAACTCATTTTGTTCTTAAAAAAAAAAAAAAAAAAAACCCACATTTTCCAAAGTAAGGTTGATATTGTTTACTTTGTTAACTTTGCTGCTTCCTGGCTGTTTCAAGGGTATTTTGAAAGGAAGAGTCAATGTCTTCACTCAGTAATAAATATATATGTAATCCTTCTACCCGATGTTGAATCTGAAATATCAACTATAATTATAATACCTGACAAACAGAATAATAATCCCACCTTGTCTGTATCAGGCCTTTTAAAAGCAATGAGATCAAGTGTATATTTTGCCTGATTACTGGGAAAGCTGGTATGGCTTACACTTGTTTACAGTGCATTTTACTACCCTGAGTGTGGATCAGAATAGCGCCCAAAAGTATACGAACCAAACATTTAAAAGAAAACTGGCAGGCGGGATGAACCATTACACACGAACTGCACGATGATTAAAAGCGTACAACTCCAGCATATTCACAATTGTTAATGCAATCACATTCCAAGTACTTCCATTCTTGGCAGAGCTTACAAACACTAATGCCAAAAAACATTACTCTTTTTCAAAACATTAACTCCATATTCAAAATTGTGATAGCATTGAGTCTTAAAATCTCTTGGCATGGGTTTTAATAATTAAGTGGTTAATAAAAAAAATTGAGTTGGATAAACTAAAACTATTTGGCTATCTCAGCCACACATGTAATCATTAGAACCATCATAGACGGGAATTTCAGAGAGGTATTCCACAACATTCTTTCCCCACCGCTGTGGGCACTTTCCGCCACCCCCGCCAGCCCAGACTAGTGTTGTGGATCCCTAGGACCCTGGACGAACACTAGGGCTCCCCCTCTGCAGGCACGCCAGGTCCTGTGGCTACACTGGCTGCAGAATGGCCTCCCACTGTCCCAGGAACTGAGCAACAGCCCCACAGCAACGCCCACCCTGAGCTGGGGCACAGGATGGCAAAACACTCCTACCTCCCCCTCTTCCTTCGGAGGCCATGCTCCTTAGGGAAGTTCAAATTGACCAGGGGACTATTTTAACTAAGTTAACAAAGGAAATCTATTCTGTATTAACATTTCTTTTTTCTAGTTTTTAAAAAAATTATTATTTCTTTGTTTCTGCAAGAGAGGGAGAGAGAGCAAGAGATCGAGAGAGCGAGCATGAGCAGGGCACAGGAGCAGGGGGAGAATCAGACTCCCCGCTGAGCAGGGAGCCTGATGTGGGACTGGATCCCAGGACCCTGGGGATCATGACCCCAGCCTTAGGCAGATGCTTAACTGACTGAGCCACCCAGGCATCCTGTATTAACAACATATCAACTTATGTTTGTGAGGGAAAAAATAGAAAATAGAGAGAAGACATAACAATACCAATAGTTAAAACTTCTAAAGTCTCACTATAAGATTCTGCTGAAGTTACATTGTCTTATTTTATTGGAAGATTTTTTCCTATTGTCAGAACATTAGCATATATTCATATTTTACCTAACACTGTATCATAAGCAGCTTCCCATCTTAATAATCTTTTAAACTAATACGTGTTTCATATGCCAAGTAATTGTAACATGTTTTAGTTAACTGGTTCGTCACTGAACTTGTTGATTCACTTTATTAAAAAAATCATTTATTCATTGAGTAGATCTACGACATTCAAAACACTGGATCAGGGGCACCTGGATGGCTCGGTGGGTTGGGCCACTGCCTTTGGCTCGGGTCATGATCTCAGGGTCCTGGGATGGAGCCCCGCGTCGGGCTCTCTGCTCAGCGGGGAGCCTGCTTCCCCCTGCCTTTCTGCCTACTTGTGATCTCTCTCTCTGTGTCAGATAAATAAATAAAATCTTTAAAAAAAACAAAAAAAAACAAAAAAAACCCCACTGGATTAAATATTATAAGTACATGTATATGAGTAAGTGGGTCCTCTCAGAATGCTCTTCAAAATGACAAAAGACACAAACATATATATGCAACACACACAACATATACAGTGTACACTTTCTATATCTTGCATTTAATTTTTAATTTAATTAAAAAAAACATTTAATTTTTAAAAAATATTTAAGCATTTAATTTTTAAAAAATTAATTTAATTTAATCTTTTTAATTTTTAATTAATTTTTAATGTTAAAAACTAATTAATTTTTTAAAATAAGCATTTAATTTTTAAAAAATATTCTTATGGGACTAAAATGCCCTAATTTTCTTTCCAGATATTTCTTTTATTGCTATTTCTCTTACACTTGTCTGCTGGGTTTGTCTAGGCATGGAAATCTTTAAAGAAAAATTCTGAGCATCATTAAATATTTTATCTTAAGAACATCCCTAGCCAAAAGTATTATTAGTTCTTCCTACATTTTAGACAAAATTGCTGTATAATATAGTACTGGGCTAAGAATGTGTTGTGGTTTTCTTTGAGTTGTGGGACTGGGACAGAGGAGTAGACATCTGGAAACAGGTATCTGAGCCACAAAGATATGGATACAAATTCTCCTTTCATATCTTAACTAGTTGTATGATCTTTGGAGTGTTACTCAAAAACAAAAAAACCCGATTTATTATGCTTTAGTTTCCTTGCTTGTAGAAAGGAATTAATAACATTTACCTTCAAGGTGGATATAAGGATTCCAGAAAATCTATGTAAGGGTCAACCATATGCCTGGCATAAATACAGACACTGAACATGTTTATTTCTACAATGAGCACAAATTCTGTTTTTAAAAGATAAACCTAACTTGGTATATGGAAAAATTATAAAGAGAAAAATTAATTTACTTGGCTTTACTTCTACAGGTGAATTGTAATTCATTACCCATTTCCCAGTGAAGGTTCTAAGCCTTGAAAATTCGAGAAATCTAGACATACAGGGGTCAGTGCCCTGAAGCCAACGACAATCACTTCAGAACCTAGCTCCTACCATGTCATTAATCCTATGTGTTTCCTCTTTTCTGTACATTTGTGAATATACGTGGGAGACGATGAAGTAAATTCACAGTGTGGGAAAGCAACATCCATTCTCCAATCCTGCTTTGGGATGATTTGCTCCCCCTTCTTGTTTTTCTCACCTCACCTCTGATTTGAGAGAGGCTGACGGCAACAGAGCCGACTACTCAGCTTCTCTGTCAGCAGACGGAATTAACTGCTCCCCTTCCAGGAAAGGTGACAGTCCCTGGGAGACACCAGTGTGGGAAAGCTGTTTCTGGCCCCTCAGTGTTTTGCCTCACATCTTACAGGAGGGCTCTCTCTGATCCACAGTCCTCCCCTCTGAATGTGAATGACATTTCCTGGCTGATGAGGGATTCCCTGAAGAGTCCTTCCACAAATTAATACACATGTGATCACCAGTAAGCGTTCCCAGGGCTTCCAGCATCCCTCGAATTCTCATGTTTCTCATTCGTTTTTTTTTTTTTAATAATGATTTTATTTATTTGAGAAAGAGAGAGCATGAGTGGGAGGAGGGTCTGAGGGAGAGGGGAGAAGCAGGCTCCCCACTGAGCACAGAGCCCCACTCAGGGCTGATCCCAGGACCCCAAGATCACGATCTGAACCAAACTGAGATGCTTGATCAACTGAGCCACCCAGGCGACGCTCATTTTTCCCATCTGAATCAAGTTTAAAAGTTGCAACCAATTATATGAAATAAACTGTCTTTAGTCTGTCAGAGTAATACAGCCATCATTAAAACGACATAAAATCCCAGGGATACAAAATTCCAGATTTTTTTTTTCCCATGGGGGCTGGATAAGCACAGACCTCTGAATGGTCTGCGGGCTAGTCTGGGGCTCCATGCTGGGAGGCACCAGGAGAGAGGAAACATGTCTGCACGCAAAGCTAAAGACAACATTGAAAGGTATGTGTGTTTGAGAAATTGCCTGCAGAGCTAGTAGGCAGATAAAACCTGTATCATTTTTGGAGCTGTACGTATAGAGTATTTCCATAAACCTCTAATCTCAAAAGAACCTGTATATAAGATTTTGTCTTTATTTTTGGATTGTCTAAACCTAAGTTCTTTCCCTGGACCCAGGATCACAGGGTCACTGTTGCAGTGATTTCAGACTCCAGGGTGCTAACTGCACACCCCAAAGCACAAAAAAGCTTGATTTCAAAAGATTATTTTGGAAACTGTCCTCTGCATCTGCTGTTCCCTTATCCAGAAAATTCCGATGTCAGACATATGTACACAGTCCATTCCCTCGAGTCATTCGGGTCTCTTGCTCAAATGCTCCCATACTGGAGAAGTCTTCCTGACCATCCCAGTTGAAGCAGTAGAAATCCACTCAAAAACAGGCTCTATACAACCTTCGGATGCCCTATTTTTCTTATTCTTATCCTTCTTTTTCACCGCCTCTCCTATGATAGATACATTTGATTTTCCATCTCCCCTCCCCACCAATGCAAGCTCCATAAAGGAGGAACTTAGTTCTTTTGCTGTATCCTACAGAGTTCCTGAATACACGCTTGCCGTTCAATAAATATCTGTCACATGAATGAATGACTTGTAGATGTTTAGTCAAGTGCCATACATCTCCAATTCTCTTCCCAGCGAGATACACACTCAACCAGTGCTCCTGGGGCACACAGGAGGCCAATGCTGAATCCTCTCAGATGTCTTTACCACAGCTTAGGAAGCAAGTGTATCCATGTGAGCTACCCTAGGAGTTGACAAAAGGCAAGCTTCTCTTCGAATCTTCCCAGGCTATAACACTCATCAACACACGACTTGCCCTCCCTCCCAAGCTTCAAATTACTTCATGCTCACAGAAACCTAGACCTCTTTTCTTACCATACTGATCAGAATTGGTGGTGAAGAGAAGGTAATCAGAAGCACAGGTCTGGGATTCAATATCCAAATCTCCTAGCCTCAGGATCAGTTTCTTCCCTTTTGGTACTCTGATGGTCTTTTCACAAACCGTGTGATTTGGGTAAGTCCCTGGGTAATTCTTAGACGTCATGGTGCCACTGTCCTGATAGGTCACTATGTGCCCACAGCCATCACCTGGTAAAGAAAAAGAGAATGAGAGGAGTGACATTAATTCTTACTGAGGATTGAGAGAGTCTAGTACAATCTCCAAGTCATGTATGTTATTCCTTCTTCATAGAGGGAAAAGTGAAGAAGAAGAAGGAGGAGGAGGAGGAGAAGGAGGAGGAGGAGGGGAAGGAGGAGGAGGGGAAGGAGCAGGAGGGGGAGGAGGAGTAGGGGGAGGAAGAGGAAGGAGGAAAGGAAAGAAGGAAGAGGGGGAAGGAAGAAGAGGAAGAAGAAGGAGGAAGAGGAGGAAAAGAAGCAGCAGAACGAGGAGGTTAAATTTTATATTATTTCAGGCTATTTCATCTGTCTCCCAGTTTAATCTTCTGACTATTTTGGACCAAAGTGTTTCACATATTAGAATGGAAAGCCCTCAGCAAATACCTCATTTGATCATACCACTTTTTCTAATCATCTATTTATCTACCATGGAAACTTGCAGAGTAGGCCCTTCGCATTCACAGATTTGCCATTTGTGGTTTCATCTATTAGCAAGGCAACGCCGTGCAATAATTTGTGGTGAAGAAAAGAATCGTCTAACTTCCAGAGGGTCACCATATAGTTAAACAAGACAGCGTGGGCCGCGTGCTGCTGGTAGAATTTGAGATGTAGGCTGAGAGGAGAGTAAGGGCCTGTTACAGCTGGAGATTTCCAACTGTTCGACATTCATGTCGCGGTTAATGACAGTCACAGACTGGAAGGATCCTGATAGACCCAGGATGTGTCATTAGGGAATGTGGAGGGTCTAGTGTATGGAGTGCTTGGTGCATACCAGAACTGGTACAGATGGATACACAAAAAAGCAGCAATGGCAGCTTCGCAGAACTCAGAGTGAAATGGGAGACAGTTATATGCTCAGCTAACTCTAATACTGGGTGCTGTGTGTCATACCAGGAGCTTAAAGCACCGAGGAAGGCAGGAAAGGAACTATTTCAGTGAATTATCACTACTTCACTAAAATAAGACATTTCCTTAAGACTTTTCTGAATAGGGAAGTTCATCAATGGACCGACACGTTGTTCTAGTAGATTAAAGTGACTGAGTCACTCACTCAAATATCTAATGGCACGCACAGCTGGGTGGGTTGCAAGGTAAATGAGCATGCACTGCGTTCAAATGGCAAAATTCTTGTGGCCAGTATGGCTTCACATAAAAGCAAGAATTTCTGTCCTTAACTGGAGGGAGACAAAGCAGAAATTGGTTGGAAAAGGAATTCTCTGAGTAATAAAACAAGGCCTCTGCATCCCAAAGTCTCCCACAAAGAAGCCCCAATTTGGGCATAGTGGGAATCTAAGCCCAAGGCAGCCTTCTTCCTCCTCCAACCTCTTCCTGAGCTGGAGAAGGATTGGCCTGGGGCTTTCCTTTATCCCACTCTTCTCTGGCCCTGAGGCTTATAGCCCAAATGATAATGGAGGCTTAAAAACAACAACAACAACAACAACAATAAAAAACCCTGGCGGGGGTGGGCAGGGCATAGAACTCCAGAAATACCCCATCTCAGCAGACAAGTCTAAGAAGAAGAATCTACCCATAACCCAGAAACTGCCACAAGATTCCCAACCCTTCTGGCCAGATGGATGGATGGGGGATAAGTGTTAACTTACCAAGAACATGAGCAGAAATGTAGATGATATTAAGATAAAACCACTGGACACCTGCACATCTGGGAGAAGCTTTGGAATTTACATGGAAGACTATAGAGACCCACAGACGTTTTTGAGAAGGGAGATAATGAAAGAAAGGTTTAAAAAAGGATGATCAACCTGGTAGGGCAATGCTACAGGACCTAGAATGTGGGGGGAATCTGGATCAGAAGAGCCATACAAGGGCTAGGAATGGGGCAGCTAGAAAGGGAAAGGAAAGAAAAACAGGGAAATTCACAAGAAAAAAAAAATCAAAGGCTCAGGAAACAAGAGGTGTTGGTGAGGATGCGGAGAAGGGGAACCCTCTTATACTGTTGGTGGGAATGCAAGCTGGTGCAGCCACTCTGGAAAACGGTATGGAAGTTTCTCAAAAAGTTAAAAATAGAGCTACCGTAGGGTGCTTGGGTGGCTCAGTCAGTTAAGCCTCGGACTCTTCTCCTCATTTCAGCAGGAGTCATAATCATGGTGTCCTGGGACTGAGCCCCAAGTTGGGCTCCACAATGGGCGTGGCACTTGCTTGGGATCCTCTCTCCCCCTGCCCATCTCCCAGCTTGCACTCTCACTCTCTACTTCCTTCTCTCTTGAATAAACAAATAACCCTTAAACAAAAAACAAAGAAAAAAACCCAGAAACTATCCTATGACCTAACAATTGCACTACTAGGTATTTATCCGAAGGATACAAACAGTGATTCAAAGGGGTACATGGACCCCAATGTTTATAGCAGAAGTGACTACTACCACAGCCAAAATAGGGAAAGAGCCCAGATGTCCATCAACTGACAAATGGATAAAGATGTATATACAATGGAATATTACTTAGCCATTAAAAAGAATGAAATCTTGCCATTTTCAATGACATGGATGGAACTAGAGGGTATTATGCTAAGCAAAATAAGTCAGTCAAAGACAAATACCATATCATTTCATTCATATGTGGAGTTTAAGAAACAAAACAGATGAACATAGGGTAAGGTAAAAACAGAAAGGTGGGCAAACCATAAGAGACCCAGCTCTGGGAAACAAACTGAGGGTTGCTGGAGGGGAGGCAGGTGGGGGGATGGGGTAACTGGGTGATGGGTATTAAGGAGGATACTTGATGTAATGAACACCGGGTGGTGTATGCAACTGAAGAATCACTAAATTCTACCCCCCGAAACTAATAATATACTGTATGTTAACTAACTCGAATTTAAAGAAAATCTAAAAAAAAAAAAAAAAAAACAGACTTAGGTTTTGGTTTAATGGGGAAGACGAGAGAAGAAAACAAACAAACAAACAAACAAAAAAACGAAACCCCACTGAGATTCTGAGTCCAGAAATGACTGCAACACTAAGGCTAATATAGAGAGAATTAGAAGCCCAGAGAGAGAGCAGGTTTGGGGGCAAAGGTTGTAAGTCTGGTTAAGGCTGAGGTGACAGCTATCTTTCGTGACATCTCTGGCAGTAAGTACAAAATTGTTGAAAGTTAAATGAAAATTATACCAGAGGGAAGCATATAGTGCAGAAGCACATAGTGCACAAGGCTTTGATTTAAAATTTGAATTATTTGCCTGTTTATAAAGTCTTTCATTAAAAAGTCCAATTTATAGTTTCTCTTGAAGACTGGAAGATGTGGAAACAATGGCAGCAGGTGATCTCACCCAGCTAGTGACACTGCCCCTTTAAAGGAGAAAAGTGCCCTAGGTCCCCACCCCATCCTAGCTGTTCTAGGACATGCCCCACCTTGGGAGGCCATGATTTTGAGCATCCTGACAGGGCAACGCTACGGTAACTAGCGTACAAACAATCATGAGTGTTAATACACACATTACCCTCTCTAACCCACCAAGATATCACCTGGTCAAACATTTGAACACCTTTCTTCTTATGGGGAAATTCTCTCCTTTAATAAGAGAAGAAAAAGTGAACTCTTTCTGGAAAGCACAGCTAAATATTAAATGAGGCGTAATTATATGCGAATCAACTTCCATTTGATCACTATATTCTTGATTTTACTTAAGTGACATGTCATGACAAAGGAAAATCCCTGGGTATCACATTTATTCAATCCTGTAATTATACTTCTTTCCAATCACTTTTACTCTAAAGCCCTAGAGGAAACTAATTTCACCCAGTGATACCAGCAGAAGGGAAGCAGGTCTGGCTTCAACTCTCCCATCATTACTTTGCCTGGGTGATCAGTGCCTCCTTGGAAAAATTTCTCTTTTCCATTAACTATCAGAATGATACTCTAGGAGTCTTTGTTCTTCCAAAAAACCTGAAAGGAACTGCTGAGTCCTAATTTATTAAAAAGCAAGCGGTCATCAGAAGTTTGTAATTTCACCCCTGTCTGTGCAAGGAGACTATTTAGGAAGTTTTCTGTGGCAAGCACTAATATAATACATTTATTCCATGGTATTAACTACATTAGGAATTTTCATCCTATTGTCCTTCCATGGTCTTGATGAATTCAAAAAACTAGATATACTAATAATACTGTAATAGATACCTGAAAGTTGCTAAGAGAGTAGATCTCAAATGTTCTCACCACAAAAAAGAAACGGGGATTACAGGAGGTGATGGGGCGGTTAGCTAACATCATGGAGGTAATAATTTCACAATATGTAAGTGTATCAGATCAACACACTGTAGACAAACTAACACATCATATGTCAGTTATACCTCAATAAAGCTGGAGGAAAAAAAGGACTAGAAATATGCCAAAGGGGAAAATGGAGAACTGGGAGGGAGGGAAAGAGAATGCCCACCATACCATGGACTGTATAAGGCAGATGCATGCAAATGATTAACAGTAGGGAAGCAATATTCCTAAGACCTTATCCAAACACTTAGGTAGCTTACTCTCATCACCTAGCTCTAGTGAAGAATCACTGACAAGGAAGGCAACAGAAGTTGCTTAAAAATCTATCACTTCCTGTTCCATTTCTTGAGTATCAATGTCAATTTCCTGGTTCTGACTGGCAAGATGTTATCATTGAGGATAACCAAGTAAAGGGTACACAACTTTCCTCTCTATTATTTCTTGCAACTGTATATATTCTACAGTTGTCTCAGAAAAAAGTTTAATTAAAAAAATGTGTTAGTCTGGTTAAGTTTGGCTGACAGGGGGTGAAAATGAAGAGGCTTTCATTTTCTGTTTTATACTTTTCTATACTATCTGGATTTTGTTATTCTGTATAAACTATTTAAAGTATGCTTAAATAAAACATTATCCACATTTGCATTGAAAAGGTATATATTGAATGACAATCAATAAAGGAGGCCACTTTTATTCTAAAAATCTCTCTGTACCAAATTTATTACCCACATTTCTCATATGTGTCTGAGG